AGCCAGTACCGCCCGTACTCACGCCAGTACACTCCCCATAGCTACATCCAACTCTTGCTATGACTCGTACCCGCGAACTGGCTCTTAAAGACGTGGGGAGAGTGTGCGAACTACCGGGTGCTAGGAGCTTTGCTAACTCGCGCCCCCTCAAATTAAGCCTCACACACGGCGGGACTCACGCGAGTGCTAGCGAGCGATAATCTGACATACATCCCTCCCATATATCCTTTATTATCAGGCTTTCTGTCGCCGCTCAACACCTCCGCATTCAAAGGGACAGACCTTTCCTCGTCATCCCCTCGCACCTACTCACCCTCGGCCCTCGCGCTTGCTCACCCCTGGTGGACACCGAGACACGCGCTCATACTCCCCTGCTAGTACATCGTTTAGGTGCACCGAACGTCTACTGTTTGAGTTTCTTGCATCATCTAGGTAGGTTTTTGTTCTCAGGGGATCTGTGTATATGTTGAGGGCAGTGACAACCTGTCTTCGAACCGCGCTTTCTGGACTCAGCTGCCTGCTAGCGCGCATTGTCTTACACGTAGCTTCCAGCCTCTTTCTGGAAGCCAAATGCCTTGGTATATTCTACGCACATTGTACTATTGATATATCATCGATGTACAGAGTCTTTCTGGGATAGCGCCACTGCTTTGACCTAGACAACCCTAACGATGATGTGTTCCCTCCGTAAGCGACTGCTGCCTCCCCTATCCAGGCATGCTATATGCATTGGCAGTTTGGCACAGTCCCCTTAGTGCGGCCTGACTTGCGCTAGCTTGTGCCAATTTGGAGTGCCTTGAGCGAACGTATTTGAAATTGTACTCACTTACCCTCACTGAAATCGCTGGACGTGTACTTGCACCATGATTAAGCGAGGACCCGACCATCTCCGTACTCATCGAGCAAGGCCCAGTGGCAGGCACGTGGACATCCCGAGTCCCTCTCCTATCCGCTAACCCATACACCAAGGAGACTATGGCCGCACGATGGTAGTCGCTTCCTCTGCAACACTGTAATGGCGAATTTCTTGTGATCGTTCGTGGTGAAGGATTTGGCGGAGGTTCTCGTGTTAACGTGATGTTGTGCACGCGTGGTGAGCATGCTCTGTGGTATTTTGCATGATGCATCCTGCTGATGCTAAGTATCATAGGTACACTGGGCGACTATAATCAATGGAGAGCTCTCGGTAACGATGGATGGGGTTACGAGGACTTAGAGTCATACTTCGTCAGATCTGAGAAGACTTCGGGACACATGTTCTCTAAGTACAGGGGCTGTGACGGTGAGTAGAAGCGCATCTATCTGAGGTCTTCACATTTTGACAGCACTTCACGCAAGGTGTTTGGCTCAATAAACCAAATGTTGACCCATACAAGACCAATCAGTTGTGAGTCGATCAGATCCATTTTGTGGATAACGTGCACTGAATGATCTACAAGGTGTGTTTGAGCGCTAAAGAAGGTTGGAATAGAGCATGTCTCCAGCCTCACGTTCTTTAGCAACGCACTCGCAGAAGTGTTGTTCTTAGATACGGGTGAGAGCTTTGCAACATGTTGATCCAGCAAGGCGTAAAGCCTCATCCGGGGACCTGGACGCGACACACCATGATGATGATCACGCTCGCCTCCGAATCGCCGAAGTTGAATGAAATCAGTACGCCATTTCTAGAATAATAGTAGGCAGTATCGACAGCCTTGAAGTTCGAGAACGGCCCCGCATCTAAAGGAGAGGTGGACCGGAAGTCTATGGCGGGATGCCGACGCCGACGCTGAAGATATTGAAACAAATGCTGAGCCTCTGTGCAAGCCTGAGGCAGAACGTTAGGCACACGTTCACGACAGTAAACAGATGGATGAAGCCTTTATATATTGAGCTTGGGATCCCAGCGGTCGAGTGGTCACTGAGCCAGGTAGTAAACGGAGGAGCGGGGAAGCGCGGCATGGCTCGACGGCGCTTGCCTATCGTCCTCGGTCCGGCATCCCGGTGGTGCTTTCTAAATTCGGCCAACTAGCTTCGTCGCCTTCCCCCAGCTTCGAAGTTCCTGCAATACATCGGGCCCTACAAGCACCACAAACCAACCTTGTTCACAGGCACACATAACCTGCAGTGGAAAAACATCGGGAACACGTATGCGAAGCCAGGTTCAAGTTGAGTACTCATGCGGCCTCCCTGCGCTCGTCTTTACTGTTCTCTTCTCCCTGGTAGGATCAGTCCGAGGCTTATGGCCTCCGCCAACCTTCAATCGCGCATCCGCGCGCGCAACCTGAGCACAAGATCAAGTACTACAAAGACTCAGAGGATCGCATGACCCTTCGAGTGTCCGCCTCGCTCAGCACGTCGCTCAAATATTGCTCGGCCTCATAAGTACACTTTGAAGGGCTTTAGTTCTTCCGAGGGCAGCATACATTCGATGTCTGACGCGTATATAGAGATAAACCTCCAGACGTACCATGCGTCCAGTACACCTCGATGGTTTGCCTGGGGGCAACGATCGATACGTAGAACCCGGGTGACGTTGACCAGCTATTGTCAGCACACAGATGGAGAGGTTGTGGATGTGCGATGTCATGGTCTTCCAGTATAGATCAGAGAGGAACCGTGGTATATGTACCTGTGCTCGTCGAAAGGAGATGAGTGAACCACTAGCGGGTCTGTTTTGCTGGAGAATTTACTGTTATGGTGTCGCACTTGCATGTATGGCCGGGATGCCGAATTGAGATAAGAGGAGTCGACCTTCTGGTGTCAACTCGTGAGAAACATAATTGCGCCACGCACACAATGGAAAGACGAGTCCGTTCACAAACCCTAAACCCATTGTGCGCCCTTTGCTTCGCATACCATGGCCCAACAAACTGTCAGCAAGGAACATCCAAACAGGACCATAACCTGGAACAATGTTCGGCACCTTACCTCGAGGACGACGGGTAAGGAGGTACGCACCGCATTGAAAAAGATCGCGTGACTCCACAGATATCCGGACTGATGCAAGAGCACACCAGAGAGTGGGTTTCCGGTGAGGAGGGCAAAGCTGAAGATGAAGCAGGCGAATCCGATGCGGATGCTAGACACGTCCGAGCGCGTGTTGTCAGTCACATATAGCTGTAGCAAAACAAGACATGATACGTACCCCACCACGTCAACGCTCTTCGCGAGCACAGTGAGCATTGGTGCCGCCATACAGCACCTTAAGAAGACCCCCGTAGCGGACGGCGAACGCAACGACGCCGTGCTCTGTCTTCGCCCTGAACATGGCGAACATCAGGAGGAGGCTAGCAATGGTGGTCATCGAGATGATCACTGTCCCAAATCTCGAACGTCAGCATCCATCTGGAATCAATGCACAGCAGCGGAATTGCAAAGGCGTACCATTGAAAACCCATAGAAGTCGGCAGGAAGCGGGGTATTGTCCGACCATACAATGAAGCACCACCGTTGACGATGGGTATCTAGTATCTAGCAAGCGTGAGTCTTCGAGAACACAGCAGGAAACTGGTTCGACGACATACTATGTAGATCGTGAAGCTGTGAGATACTCTATGCAAGACACCATAAATCTGTAAATAGAAGATTGCGATGTATGATTGCGCGGTAAGTTCAAATGAACGGCCCTGCAAGGAGACAGGGCATACACGGGAGGGAAAGGCCCCAGATTGTAAAAACGCCCTGCAAAAGAAGGCGACGAGAATCTTAATCTCCCTGATTGAGATATGCGCAGCTACACAAACCATGTACGGAACGTGGGGGACCAGCTGCAGGACGGCAGCTGCAGCCATCAAGCGCTACGTCGCCTCGTGGGAAAGTCGCCGTTAACAGACGACATGATGTCCACGTGATGCTCTGTCTCATCACCATGGCGCAGTACGCCGCACAGGGGCAGACGGCGTCCACTCATGACATGGTGCATCCCAGCGACTTGAAGAGTATAGGTAATGTTATGCTTGTGATCCTAGTGCGAAGTCCGCGCTGATCCTTACAGGCAATGCGCAGGTCGTCAGACGACCTATATCTGACGCACAACCTGTGCGGATGTCCTTCCCGTACGCATGATTGTTTGTAAGCGATCCTATCGTATGGAGGGGCTGAGTTCAGAGGTTGGAGTACATACTCGCTCACCGCTGTACATAGACTGCTCGTATCATCTGTCTAGGACTCAGATTTGGACGAAGGCATGGACTTCGTCCCCGAGTCGATATCGTTTGACGAGGAGCTGATTGATTTCCTCGTCGTCTTCGACAACCCCTTCACCCCATCGCTTTCGACCAAGTTCCAGCAGGATATCGCCACCCTTCTCCAGCTCTGGGCTCGCCTTCTGGAACCGGAAAGGAGACATTCAGCTTGGACAGCGAATACAAACGCGCTTCAGCATTGTTGGGTGATGCATCTTTCCAGGCCACTCGTCGAGAGTGATCCAGACGGCGGCCGCAGCGGGGGTCACCACGTACGGATACATCTTCACCGATCAGCATGCTGCCGCAACCGACCCTGCCACAGCAGGTGTGTGTTTCCTATCTCTGCACCCGCAGCGAAACGCTCAAGCTGTTTGTCCGCTGACAGTGCAACATGCTTCCGTATGCGTACGGCGGCCCTACGCTCACAGTAAGCGACCTGGGAGTCGGAGTGCTGGCTATGTCCATGACGGACTATTGGCTCTCGTTCGCTGTGAGCGTCACGCCTAACGATAGTGAAGGTCTTCCGAGTGGGTGATGCTGAGTTGTCTCCGTCGAAGCACATGCTAACGCTATCATGCCTTATGAACCGCGTGGCCACAATACGAAATGAACAATCAGGTGCGTCTTGCAAGCATCATGGACCATTCATACCTTTGCTGATGGCATGGCGAAAACACATAGGTACTTATTCAGTTCGACACCACCAACCTGATCTCGGACATGTCGAAGGCGACCTTCACCATCATCCCCGACACGTATCCTGCGCAACGGATAACTTCTTTCAACTCTATCTCAGCCGATCTTGGAGAGTAGGTATTGTGGTCTCGATGACGCACGTAGACGAAGTGGATAAGTTGGAGGACGTGGCTATAGCCCTGCTCCTGGGTATTCTCCAGACGTATAATCAATGCATCTTTCCCATCCTACCTGCAGAACAAAGCTCCCTGTGAACCGGAGCAGAGGCCCGCAGCCTACGCCCACATCTTTCAGACAAGGAAAGCTTGACCGAGGTGAACCACACGCGATAAAGCAGGGCCACCGGAGGCTCGCAAACTAGAGAGAGACGAACGCAGCGGCGGCATTAGCGCAGAAGATGGTCCGCAACCGGAACGCATGTCTCGAAAGCCACACGTCGCCCACTTCTCCTTCATGCGCTCAGTGTCATCGCGATCAGAGGAGCTCCTGTGCGAGACTTCGTTGCTGTCCAGCCCCTGTCGCTTACGCGCCAATCCTGTTGTCCTCTCTTCCTTTTAACCCCGCAGTTGTGGAATGATTTATGCAGTTCTCCGAGTCTTAGTGTGCTCCATTTATCGCTCTACTGTCGGCACAGGTAACCTAAGCGTCATATGTAGGAGAGGTGCGGATGTCGAAGATCTGTACTTCTGCAGGTGTGTCTGGAGTCACTAGTCACGTCTCGTCTCGTCTCTTTCTGATGACCTGGGGTGGTATGGGCAGAGTTTCGGTGGTCCTCGACCGCGTTCTCATGGTCATCTAACTAACATCAGCTTCGATAACCGCCTCGAGCACCACGCTGACACTTATATGCGGACAAGTTGCGGCTCTGGAGTAACCGGCTCTGCTTGCTACACTCCTGACAACGCCATCTCCGCTCGTCCCCGCTCGACTGTTTCCGTGTGTTCTTTTGCCCTCGCCCTCGTTTCACGTCGCTCACGCCAAACAAGATTCCCACCAGCCTTCGGATGTATGGATGGAAGAAGGTCGAGACGCCACCTACAACCGTAGCGCCATTGTAAGAAAGACTGGGCCAGGGAAGCATTCCGCGATCTGCCCCGCAGGAGACGCACATCGCCCGGGAAAGGGCTGCATAGATACGGTGCGAGGCGTCCCTCATAAGTGGAAAAGCAAAGGAGGGGCGCACAAAGGGCTCACATAAACTAACCGGAACCCTGACTATCGATGTGAGGGTGACCTGCTGAACGGGACTATATCCGATATGCTTCTTTCCGCAGCGGCTCGTACATGCCAAGGGGCTGGACCGCATCCTACAAGCAGAACATAGACGATGCTATCAGAAGTCGAGATATCTGACATGTTTGACGCGGCTTAGGGACGTCTGTGGGGAGTGGCAACATGTCGGCAACTTTCCATAGTGCTCGTATTGTTTGACATTGGAGACCTGGCTGGCAAAGAAAGCGCGATAGGAGGTCTCCATTCCGCCTCCTAAACTTTTGATAACGCAGAAACCCTGAACGCCAGAGGAATCCGAGGGCA